CCCCACTCTCTCCTCCTCCCCTCCCCTCCTCTCCCCTCCCGCCTCCTGATCCCGGCCCCGGGGAGGGGCGGGGCCCGCGCTCCCTGTGCCCTGCTGGGCCTGACCGGGCCTGTTTGGGTAACGCGCTGACCCGGCCCGCGTGGTTAATGGTGGGTTTCCCGGCCTCGGCGGCGGGCAGCCGGGCACTAGGTCTGGCCGACCTGGGCGACGGGGAGGGGGGTGGCCCTGGGGCCCCTGAACAGCACGGCTGTGAGCCTTATCCCAAGCGCTGGTGCTGTGTGACCGTGGGCAGGTTCCTAGGCGTCTCTAGGCTGGGCTGCCTCCGCTCCACCGGCTCCCAAGCCAGACCGACTGGCCACGGGCATTTACTGGATGCCCGCTGTGTACGAGGCTCTGTGGTGGGTGCCCGGGGACCCAAGATGGAGCTCCTCTTGACCCTCATGGAACCCACAGTGTCTAGGGAAGACAGATAACAAATAAACCAGCAAATAAGATAATTTCAGACAACAGTCAAATGCTACAAAGAAAAATCCAACAGGGGCAGGAGACAGAGAATGACAGGAGGCCTCTCTCCGTGGAGGTGACATCTGAGCTGAGACCTGGATGACAGGAGCCTGCTGGGAAGACAGGTAGGGGGAGGGAGGGTGGGAGGCTTCAGGCAGAGAGAAGGGTGAGGGCAAGAGCCCAGAAGCAGCTGCCAGGCTCGCATCCCCTACTTTGCAGGCCTGTTGTGAGCATCAGACACCAGGTCAAGGGAATAATCCAGGCGGCCCAGCAATCATGGCCACGGGAGGTAGGGTTGTCAGCCCCTTGACAAGATGAGAAGACTGAGGCCCAGACAGGAATGAAAGGTCTCACAGCAAACCAGAGGCCGGAAAAGGAAGATCCAAAATGCCCACTCAGTCTGTTCCACACACATCTGTGCGATGCCTACTGGGGACTGGGGCGAATCTGGGGTCCAGGGAGGGACCCCCCAAGAGCAGGGATGGAGGCAGCGCTCACCAGGAGGTGGGGTTCACCAGGATGCCAGCAAGGCGTGAGGTGGGGGCCGTGGAGAGGGTGAGGCCGGGACTTGGGATGGAGTGGGTGTGGGGGGTGTGGGGTCTGGGATAGGGGGAATGACCTGGAGCTCCCAAAATACAGGTTGCCTTTTTGTACTGGCTCCTGCCCGCTTCCCCTTGCGCATGCGCACACGGTTATAACAGGCAAGGCCAGTTCACCTGTCCAGCCGTTTGATCCTATGACCACAGGATGAAGTTTCTATCATTCCCCTTGTTTACAGAATCACGGTGTGACACAGCCGCCAGGTCGGATTTGAACCCAGGCCTCCAAGGAAAGTGTGACGTCAGGTGGCCATGGATCCCTGCAAGCTAGGTTATAAATGGAGCCCCTCCCTAGGCTTGCCTCTTTATCCTCCCAACCAATATATGGAGCAGGCACTGAAATAATCAGTAAGTGTTCAGAGAGGGATGAGGCTTTACTGAAGGAAATAAAATGAGGGGGGCTGACCAAGTAGGAAGGTTGAGGGCTGCTGTAAGGCTAGCCAGACCAGGCCTCACTAGGATGTGATGTTCGGGCCAAGACTGGAAGAGGGAGAAGAGTCGGCCATGGGCCAGGCAAAGGAAATAGCCCATACTAAAGTCCTGGGGCAGGACCTTGCCTGGTCTCTTAGCGGAACAATCAAGAGGCGTGAGAGGCTGGAGGGAAGTGGGCGAGGGGGAAAGAGGGAGGAGATGAGGACAGGGAGGGGATGGTAGTCAGATCACGTAGACAGAGGGAGAAGTTTGGATTTTATTCTGAGGGTGATGGGGGGCTCTGGAAGATTCTTGAGCAGAGGAAGGATGGGATCTGATCATCTATATATATATATATGTATAGTTTATTTTAAAGTAAATCTCTATGCCCAACATGGGGCCTGAACTCAGGACCCCGAGATTAAGAAGAGTCACAGGCTCTACTGACTGAGCCATTTCAATGAGTGATCAAAGATGGGGGAGGAAGGGAGAGTGCATGCAGAGTCCCCCTGTGAAGTGTGAAGCCAGGGTGGGAGAGAGGGCCTTTGGGCCATCAGTGGCTACACCCCCCCAGAGCATTTTCTAGGAGTTATTTTAAATACTTGATCAGCCTTCGTTTATTGGAAGATTCTGTCATCGACCCCAGCTTCCAGATGAGGAAACCTGCTGAGCAGAGCAGGGGCCATCGTGGACTGACTGTGGCCCCTTCTTTTCTCTCCTGACTCTCCCTCCCCCCACTTCACAGCCTGGGTGTGATCAGAGGTCCACCCAGCAAGGTGAGGAGTCAGAGCCCACGACTCCTCAATCCCAGGGGAAGATTTAACATTGCCCCAGCTTTGCTCTGAGTCTCCTTTGGGTTAGGGTAGTATAAATGCACTGCTCAGATGAGGCAACTCCTATGCATTCTGCACAACCCCAGCGTCAACACCCCCATCTGACATCTAGGAAGCCTTCCCAACTTTCCAAGCAGCGGCCTCACTCCTGCTCTGTCTCTGCCACCCTGCCGACAGTCCTGGTCCCTCCTGCCCTGACTACAGGGGGCTGAGAGGGTTCTGCTTGGTCTCCCCTGCTTTTCCAAACTTGGGAACCCCTCCTTGAATCCCCAGCATGGCCTAGCCTGGCTGCTCACAGACGGGACAGCCGAGAGCATTGGTTTCGCGAACAAGTCTTGTCCAACCATCTCACTACACAGGTGAGTAAACTGAGGCCCAGAGAGAAGCCCGCAAGAGTCTTAAGGTCACGGTGGGGGGCGCTAGAACCCCGGGGAGGGCTCCCCATGTTCCCAGGTGGAAGAAAACGTGTGTGACTCTTCTGATGGGGGCTCGCCGCCAACCTTGGCAGGAACAGAGGCTCAGAGGTCACCCGAGAGCCCTGGCCGGCAGGAGGGGACAGGCCTGGCTGGTGGCCCAGCAGCTCGGCTGGGGGCGGGGGGGCAGTAGGCAGAGGTTGGCGAAGTCGGAAGCCAAAGGCTTGGCCTCCCCGAGGGAGCCGCTTTCCCGGCCCGGGTCGGATCAATGGGCTGTAATTATACCGCGCCGGGCCCGGAGCCGGCGGGGAGGGAGCGGGAGCGGGCGGGAGAGAGGCGGCGGGCGGGGGAGCGCTGGCCCGGAGAGGGACCCACGTTACTTTGATTGACAGCCGTGCCGGGCGCCGCGCGAGAGCTTCTGGGGATCGTAGTCTTTCAGAGAAGCCCGCTCCCCCTCCTCTCGCGTTTGCGTTCGGAGAAACTGAGGCACAGGAAAGAGCACCTCCCTCCCCTCCGCCTACACGTCGTTTTATCCCTCCCCCATCTGACCTGAGGGACAAAAACTGACGCGTGCTAGGGGCCTCCAGGCCCGGGTGAGAGTCTCAGCTCTTCCCGGGGATTCCCGGGGGTGGGAGGCGTCCAGCGTGATTTAAAGTCTACCTCGGTTTACCTATCTGTGAAATAGGGCGAAAGGCGGCTAGTCGGCCCGCCAGCTGGCCGAGCTTTTGCAAGGTAGTATGTGGGACAAGGGACTCCTGCTTTTAAGGAGAGGCCCGCCAGGCTCAGGGGGTGGCTCGCTACTCCGGGTTTCCAGATACTAATCGAACTGGATCCCCCCCCCCGCACCCCCTCAACAGGACTGAGTTCTGGCGTCCACGAGGCTCTCAGCGTCTCTCGGGGAGGGGGAGCCCCACTCTCCATACCCCAATGGCAGCCTTCTGATTGGCCTAGCCCATCCTAGTGCCTCCTGCCATTGGTTGCGGGTTTCTGGCTCTCCATTGGCCAGCGCCCCTGTGATGTCACGGACCCATGTGGGAGCGCCGCGGGAGGATTGGCTGGCGCACCCAGCCAACCACCGCGGAGAAAGGAATTTCCACAGTAGCTGAAGCGGCGAGGCTGATTTAAGGTGGTCTGAGCAATCCGGGGTCCCAGCGCTGCTTCTCAGCTTTTTCCTTTAAAAAAAAAAAAAATCCACATCATAAAAACCCAGCCAGGAACCGGGGCTGAGCCTTTCTGTACAGGGGGAGGAGAGAGTTCAGAAGCTAAGCTCCTTCCCCCATTTTGCAGCTTCTTCCCGGATTCTGCAGGTGGGGAAACTGAGGCCTAGAGACGTGGGGCGTGAAGCCCTGGCAGGCAGAGTTGGCTGGGCGAAGCCTTCTCGGGGGGGGGTAATGAGAAGGTTGTGCTAGACTGCCCAGACTGTAACTCATCCCCCGCCCCGCCCCCTGCTCTGGCTGCATGTGGCATTTCAGCGGGGTATGGAGTCATAGGCTGCCTGAGGGTCTCGTCTCACAGCCTGCTCTCAACGGAGTCTCCCCAAACTCTCAAAGCTGCTCCCAAAGCCGGTGCTCAGAGCAAACCGTCTTCTCCTTCCTGACATATCTCACATACACCATCGTGTGTATGTGTGTGTGTGGGGGGGGGGGTCTTGTGGCTTCTCAGGCAATCCACAAATCTGTATCTGCCCCCCCGCCGCCCCCGTGGAATATGCCTGGTGGAAACATCTAAAGCCTGTTGGGTAAAGGTCCCCTCCTCCAGGAAGCCTCCTCTGGACTCACAGGCAGAGTCTCTGTCCCCCTCCAGGTGCTCCCTCTGTCCTGCTGACTACCTGAGCCCTGGGCCTGGGAGCGAGTGCTTAATTCTGCCCCCCACTCCCCCATCCTGGGGCTGGGCCCTATCTAGGAGCCCAGCGTCTTCCAGCATGAGGATGGCTTATAGAATAAATACCTACCTGAAGAGCCTGTGCTCACTTTGGAGGAGATGCCTGCGGGAGATGCTTTGGGGCTGGGCCTTGAAGAAATGGATTTTCTCCAGGCAGAAAAGGAGCAGGAGGGAATTCCAGGAAGAGGTAACCACGCAAGCAAAAGCCCAGAAGTGGGAGAGGACACGGAGTAGGTGATAACAGTGACTGGTGCAGCTGGAGCAGAGAGAGTATGGGAACGGGGTGGAAGGAGGTGAAGCCAGGCCAGGCCAGGTGGTGAGGGGGTCTAATGCTAGCCTGAGGATCTGGGGGTTTGTTCCCAGGGCCACAGGGAGCCATGGGAAGGTTTTAAGTGAGGGAGGGCCAGACTCACAAAAGGTGACAAGAGTAAAAGCTGCCCGGATGGGGGAGGTAGGTGGCTTGAGCTCAGAGGGGAGAGGATGAAGAGCTGACACAGTCTGGAGGGGGGGCGCTGAGGGGATAGGGAGCAGGATTGCTTGGCAGGTGAAGGGGAGAGAAGAGGCTAGGTTGATGCTCTGTCTTGGGGGAGAAGGATGGACTGTGGGGCCTGGCAGGGTGAGGAACAGGTCTGGGAGAAGGTGCTCCATCTAGCGACCTGGGGGACATCCAGGGAAGGCATGGCACTTCCTGGAAAGGTTTTGGAATTCGGACTTCACAGACACCCCCCCCCCCAACTTGGAATTCCTGGCATTGTAGACCAGTGGAACTCCGGTTTCTTAGAAGTTCCCAGCAGGAGTGTAGCCAGTGATTTCTGGCTTCAGCTGGATCAGCTGTTTCTTCTCCTCTCCTGCACTCACTGCTTATTCATTTATTGAGCATTTACTGTATACCAGGCTCTGCAAGAGACAGGATCTGTCCCCACACAGCCTAGTGAGTGAGACATATATCGAATATAACAACCCACAGAGGAACATGATCATGTCAAAACAAAAGGGAACAAACTGGTGGGACCTAGAAGGAGAGAGAACAGGATACAGTGTTTTGAGGAAGCTAGCAAGCACTGCTTAAACTGGTGGCCAGGAGGGGGCTTTCTTAGGAGGTGACATTTGAGCTGAGACTTGAAGGAAGCGAAGCAAGGGAACAGTATTCCAGACAGAGGGAACGGTAAATGCAAAAGCCCTGAGGCAGACCCCTATCTGGGCTGTTGGGAAAACAGTTAAGAGGCCAGGGTGTCTGAAGCAGAGGGGATGAGGGTGAAGATGAAGGCAGTTGGGATCAGGGAGGGAAGGGCAGGGAGGGAGGTTTGTGCAGGGCCTTGTGGGAAGAGGGAAGCGTTTGTATTTTATTTTGATGACCACGGGGAGCCACTGAATACTCCAGTACACACACACATTCATATCTTTGTCCTCAGGATCTCTCTTTCTCTCCCTGCCCTCCCATCCTTCAGGTCTCATCTCCTAGGTAAACCTCTACAAAGAGGCCTCTCCCAGACACCCCAGATAAGTAGGTTCCTCTCGTTGATCTCTGTCACTGCTCCCCAAACTCCTCCTTTGTACACACAAATAGTTGCATAATTACCAAGCTGTGATCTTGTCTTGTCCCCAGAGCGCAGAGAAGGCAGGAATCAGTTCTCCTTCACTCACCCTTACATTCCTGGAACCTGGAAGGATGCCTGGCATGTAATAGATGTTCAATAAGTATCTGTTGGCTGGGAGGTGAGTCCTTCCAGTTCAGTTCAGTAGGGTTTCGTACACTTTGCTCCCTGACCTCCTGACACAGACGCAGGCATTAATAATACAAGGCAAGGGTCTCTCTCTCTATTTTGTTCTCTGCTGTGCCCCAGTGCCTAGAGCTGTATCTGGTCCACAGGAGGTGCTCAGTACATGCTTGTTGATTGACTTAACAAAGGACCTGAGGTTTTTCATAAGCGAGATTGGAATGAGAACGTCCCACCTTCCAGGTAAGTGTAAGAAATGCTCCCTGGGGGGCGCCTGGGTGGCTCAGCCGTTAAGCGTCTGCCTTCGGCTCAGGTCATGATCTCAGGGTCCTGGGATCAAGCCCCGCATCGGGCTCCCTGCTCCGCAGAAAGCCTGCTTCTCCCTCTCCCACTCCCCTTGCTTGTGTTCCGAACCTCTCTCACTGTGTCTCTCTCTGTCAAATAAATAAAATCTTTAAAAGAAAAGAAAAGAAAAGAAAAGAAATGCTCCCTGGATGTCTGTGGTCTATGGTGGGAGTGGAGTCCGTGTCTTCAGAGACCTCAGTCTGAAGGCAGGGATTCAGTTGGCCATTCTCAGTGGGAACTCAGCCTTCTAGGAGCTCAGTCTGAGAGGGGAGACAGCCCAGTCTGCAAGGGGAGCATCAAGTCCGGTCTCTGGGAGTTTGCTCTGTGCCCGGCCAGGCTGAGGGCTGTCCAGGTGCCATCTCATTTAAAAATAGCCCCTGCCTCTGCCATTTTACAGATGAGAATAGTGAGACCCAGAGGGGGCTAGGGCTCCGTCCCTCCCTCCTCAGGTGTCCGCACTGGGCTATTCCCCGGTCGGAGGCAGGTTTCCCGGCCTCCTCCAGATCCTTAAGTCTTAGCCCACTCCCTCAGAAAGGCCATTTCTGACCCCGAACTGCCCCCTCCCCACCACGCTGCTCCCCACAGTGGGCCCCTAGGTATTTCTCGGCTTCCTTGCTTCTCTCTCTTGGGCCCTCTGGGAGGGAGGGGGCG